GTCTCCCACTACTGCCCACACTTTGGGGGCTCCTGTGTCTCTCGGAGAGTTAAAGCCCAGCTGCCAGCCCCAGGGGACCCCTGGACCCTGTTCACCCAGCTGCCCTGTGCAGGTCCTCCTGGGGACCCCCAGCCCCGCTGCTTCCCGAGGTGTCCTCTGAGATTCGGCCAGGCAGGAAAGCTGTCCCTAGGCGGCTCTGGCTGGGGCTTCCGCGAACCCCTGGCTGGGTTCTTCCCTGTCGCTGGCGCGGGGCGGGGCGGGAGAAGACCTCACCACGACGGCTACCCCCAGGACCAGCACGTGGGGGCGTAGAAACTGCCAGAAGAGCTTCCAGCTGAAGCGGGGCTCCACAACACCGGGTCCGGAGCGGGCCGGAGGGGCCGCTTCTGCCTCACACAGTGCCACCAGGCCGTGGTGGGGGCACCTACTCAGGACCATGGGGCCTAGGAGGACTCCCCCAACCCAGCACAAGGCAGAGGGGCTGCGGCTGGGGGCTGGAGGGGCTCGAGGGAGGCAGGCCTGGAGCTGGGGCTGCAGCCGGGCCACGGCCCCGAGGAGGCAGGAGCTGGGGCGGCCATCGCGGGACCTGCAGGGAGAGAACGGCACTGAGGGCTCGAGGGCCCAGCTGGCCCTCAGCTGAACAACAAAGCAGCCGAGCTCTCGGCTCAGCCATCTGGAGAGCAGCAGCTCCTCTCCCAACGGCGCACCCTGCCCTTCTCAGGGCAGCTCTTAAGCAACCTCGGTTTCTGAGATGAACACGCCCAGTGGAAAGCAATCGAGTAGTAAAGGTGTTCTCCCTGGCTCGTCTCAGACGGTGGGCCCTAGCCAGCGACCATCTCCAACCCCTGCTCTCTTAGAATCACAGGACATCAGAGCTGGACGGCGCTCCTCTTACAGTGGAGAATACGGAAGTTCCCAGTGAATGCAGCTCAGAGAGGGAGAGTGCCCCCCCCCCCTGCCTAACCAAGTCATCAGTCCGCTCTGTTTGATCCTCACATCCCTGGGAGGGAGATGCCAGTATTCTCACTTGATAGATGAAAAAATCCTGCAGGGCTGAGAGCTGAAATCATTTGTCCCCAAGCAGCAGAACTAGGACAAGAGAGGAGCCCTGCTGTCTGACTCCAGAATCCAGGCTCATCCTATGCTGCCATGTGTGATGAGCCCAGGGTTATGTGTGGCAGGGCCAGGACTGGACCCAAGTCTCTGACCACTGGTCGGAAGCTTATTACATATCCCATCGCCCTGTCTCCTTCCTGGCCTTGAGTGCTTACGTGACAAGGCAAGGAAGGAAAGGGTGACAGACTCCCTCTCTGTCAGCTGAAGGAAGAAAAAGAAATAAAATCCAAATAACGTATCTTGTCATCTTGGGAGAGGCCAAGATCACCCCTTTCCTGCAGTTTCGGTACCTGTAGACGGCAATGTAGGGCCGCAGCCTACTGTGCATCAGTGCTCTGCTCTGAGGAACAGTAAGAGGGGGTGAACGGTACAGACCAAGTAACTACGCTGCGGTAGTTAAGCTTTAGTGTGTGTGTGGATACAAACAACTAACGACAAAGCCTGCTGAGGCTGGAGGGTGGGGGGAGTCATTACCGTCCTTTTAAAACACCTGGACTTGAGAGGGCAACTAGGACCATAATCATAATTGCATTTTTTTAATTAAAAAATTTTTTTAATTAATTATTTTTGGCTGTGTTGGGTCTTCACTGCCGCGAGCGGGGGCTACTCTTCCTTGCAGTGCGTGGGCTTCTCATTGCAGTGGCTTCTCTTGTTGCAGAACACGGGCTCTAGGTGCGCGGGCTTCAGCAGTTGTGGCTCGCGGGCTCAGTAGTTGTGGCGCACGGGCTTAGTTGCTCCGCGGCATGTGGGATCTTCCCGGACCAGGGATTGAACCCGTGTCCCCTGCATTGGCAGGCGCATTCTTAACCACTGTGCCACCAGGGAAGTCCCCATAATTGCATTTTAAAGATCACAGCAAAGGGGAGTGAGCTGGAGAATGCCAGGAGTGGCTATAGAGAGGCCTGTTAGAAGCATGAGTTATCTGGCTAAGAGCATATGGTAGGACAATCAAAGATCCAAATGAGATTATTGATGAGGAGAGGCTTTTAGAAAACAAATAGATGAAAGGTTTCTTCTTTACTATGATGGCCTTTCATATTTCCAGACCCTCCTAACTACACACTCCATCTCATCCTTCCCTTGTTTCAGGGAGGCCTGGGCCTCTTGCCAACTCTATATTACACCTCCCCCGACCCCATCCACCTGCCTGTCTTCCACTGTGTACTTTATATCTATCCAAAATATAAACGGAAAAGCTCAATGTCCTTCTGCCCTGTGTAAGTGCCCCTCTTCCTCATCAGACCATATATTCCTCGATGGCGGGAAGCCCTATCTTATTCACCACTGCATCCCCAGCACTTAGCAGAGCTCTGGTACATAACAGTGTTCAGCAAACGGTTATGTTTCTTGAGCACGTGCTCTCATTAGAAATGCAGAACAATCTGCCCTGACTCGCTGCTGCAGTGTTTGCAAAGTTTTAGACTTACTGTGCATAACAGTAACAAATATGTTTTACTTTGCGATCCGGCACAACGTCACAGAAAACTTAAATGCTTCACGAAACACTACTCTCCCTCATTTTTTTTTGGCTGTCCTGTGCGGCTCGCAGGTTCTTAGTTTCCCCACCAAGGATTAAACCCAGGCCCCGGCAGTGAAAGCACCAAGTCCTAACCACTGGACCACCAGGGAATTCCCTCCCTAATTTTTAAAATTAATTAATTAATATATTTATTTATTTATTTTTGGCTGCATTGGGTCTTCGTTGCTGCGCATGGGCTTTCTCTAGTTGCGGCGAGCGGGGGCTACTCTTGGTTGCGGTGCGCAGGCTTCTCATTGCGGTGGTTTCTGTTGTGGAGCATGGGCTCTAGGCATGCGGGCTTTAGGAGTTGTGGCATGTGGGCTCAGTAGTTGTAGCTCATGGGTTCTAGAGTGCAGGCTCAGTAGTTGTGGTGCAGGGGCTTAGCTGCTCTGCGGCATGTAGGATCATTCCGGACCAGGGATCGAACCCATATCCTCTGCATTGGCAGGCGGCTTCTTAACCACTGCGCCACCAGAGAAGTCCCCCTACTTTGTTTTTAACACGTATTCCATTATATTCACTTTTAAGTGATTCAGACTCACTAACTTCACTTTATGGACTATTGTGTTGTGACCTGACGTTTTAAAAACACTACACTATGAACACACAAACACTAAAACGTTGTTTGATGTCTTTTCTGGAGTTTCGCTCTGGTTAAAAAACATCGACACCCTTACTCTTTTCCTAAGGACTGTTTTCAAGCCTTTTAATAATTTACCATGGCCACTTTCCAGCTTTTCTCATCTTCTCCAAACTAAGGTCTAAGCAGTGCTTGGTCACTGCCAAGAACTGGCAGATTACTTCCCAGCACCGGTACTTCTAGCCGCAGCTCCGCCCATCTCGCCCTCCATCAGTCAGACGGGCTTTCCAAAGGACACAAGTCCACATCCACCAGCCCCTATGAATCTGCTGCCTGCCTGGCTCTCGGGTTCTTCACTCCAGGATTAGAAAGGCATCAGTCGCTTCTCATAAAGCATTTACAGCGGAGTGGCAGTTTCAGGGTACACGTTCGTTTCCCACCTGTGTCTTTCTCTCTTGAGACCAACATGTATAGAGCATACAAGAACACATACATACGCATTACCAAACTGACTATCTCTGCTGAAAGCATCCCGATTTAGTAACCATTTTTGTTCAGTTCACACTGAATCTTTGGAACAACAGCAATACTAAATGTCTCCGGACACTAATAATTTTTATCTACATCGCCAGACCAATTCCAAGAACGAGGACTGGGGCCGGAAACGGGGGCCCAACACCTGTGCAGCACGGCGCCCGCTGGTGGGAAGAGACCTAGCGTGGTCACTGGCCAGAGCGCCCCCTCCGTTCAGCACACACGCAGATACAGCCGCGCCGAGCCTCCTGCTGGCACCTAGGTCTCGCTGTAAATAATTGAGGCCAATCCCCGAGGGAGTGACATTCAACCCCGGGCCGGGCCGGCCTACAACTCCCAGCAGGCCTTGCGCGAGCCCGGGACTTCATCTCCCGGCGGTCCCCACGCCCTGCCGGCGGGTCAATGGCCCGCGCTCCCAGTAGGTTTGTCCCTTTTTACCTGACGGCCGAGAATGTCTGGAAGCGGAGAGGTAGTAGTGGCTTGCCTGCGACGGGGCTACCCCGAATCCCGACCCGAAATAAGTGCACCAACATGGTGGGGGAGAAAAAGAGCAGCTGGCAACAGCAGCTTCACCCTTACTCCACTGAGGGGTCCATGTTGGCTCCGGCCCCCATCCCGACAACCCCCTCGCGACTCGGCGATGATTGGTGGAAAGAAGCATCAATTTCATTGCAAGCTGTGATTGGAGAAAACCTTGTTAGCCCCCCCCTTCTGGGACTGTGATTGCAGAGAGTCGCCTGTCTCCCGCCCCCAGTTCCGGGCGGGCCCTGCCCTGTGCCCTGTTTCCTGTGCCCGCTGTCCGAGTCGGCTATGGGGTGACGTTTTGAGAGTGTGCAGAGTGCGTCCCCCCGCCCTGGGGTATCCATAGTAACGCGTCAGTTGCTGACCTCCGGGTCATTCTCTTATGGGCGCTCCCGGCGGACTCAAGATGTTCCGGAGTCTCCAGAGAGTGTAGACCGCTGGTTCTGGGAGACTAAGGGACAAAAACCGTTTGGACTTTTTTCAAAACATGTGCACGTCCTTTGCCACCCACCCCGCTCTCCTAGGCGAGTCAGAGCTCCGGGGACGGAAGCCACATATATTTTGGGGAAAAAAACCCCTGGTGATTCTGATAAGCTGCCCCTACTCAATGGTTTAGAACCGCTGGCGCGACCCTAGATCCATCTCCCCCACAGATGCCTTCCTACCGCAGTTAGGCTGACTGTGCCTGAAGCTGCCACCGCACAGCTCTTACACCTCTGTTTCGCTCTTAGTTATTTCTTCTGTGTAATTACTTGTTTGCATAGCTGCCTCCCCACTGGGCCTTGACTTCCTTTTGGGTAAGTGGCTCTGTCTCATTCATCCGTCCCCTCCTTCCCCTCCAAATGCCTGGCAGGGAAAAGTGTCCTTAATAATAAATTGACATGAATTGGGGCCGGTGGTAGGGAGGCTGTTCATCGATGAATCTGGAGTGAAACTGGGTAGGAAAACGTCAGGATTAGTCTGAGGTTGGGCTGGGTGAGAAGGCTGTATGGGAGGGTCCTAAAGTGAGTATGGTGGAATAACAGGGTGAGTGAGGCTGGGGAGAGACCAGAGGAAACCCCACATATCTGATTTTGACAGGTGTCTCAGAGAGATCATGGGAATTTCCTAGCCCCTCTGCAGTGTGGGATTCCATTTTGGGCACCAGGACTCTTGTTTTCATAGCTCTGCCTCCTGCTCGGGGATAAAACTATGCAAGTCCTGAGCTACCATGACAATTCCCCTCCCAGGAAGGAAGCACAGGTTCCTCCTCTAAGTTCCTCCAGTGGGCAATCTGGGATGTACTCTGTTCCTCTGTTTCCATGTCTTGGATACTGGTCCCTACATCAGCGCTTGGACTTAAGCCCTGGAGACCCTGACACGTGGGTGGCTGAGTCAGCACCTCAGGAATGGACTTCAGTAGGAAACCTGATGATTCAGGGCCTCAAGAATGGCATTGGACAAGCCACCATACCAGCTGCCTGGGCCTCCTCCTCCTCGAGGTGGCAACAAGGAACTCAACTCAGTCAGCTCATCCCTGGGGCACCCAAATTACCGGCCCTTCCAAATTCCTGACCTTCAGCTGCCCTCTGCTGGGTCAGCCCTGATGCTTCTCAGGGGGCCCCCAAAACTGGATCAGAACTTGGTAGAGAGGGTTTCAAGAGGATAAATAAGCAAACATACTGGAGCTTCCGAGGAACCCCACTTTCCTACTGTAAAAGCTCCGAGAACCACCTCTCATCCAAAATAATTGCCTCTCCTCTCTTCACTTGCTCCCTCTCAGTTTCCCCCACCCTGGCTGCAAAGTCAGACGATCTCCCCTTTTCCATTCCTTAGCACTGTCATACAAGCAAAACATGCAGCCTTTTTCGTTTTCTTTTTTTCTTTTTTGTGTTTGGTCTTAAAGTGTTTCTATGTTGATCACTCTGTGTGTGTGTGTATATAGAGAGGGGAGATAAGTTGTTTTGTTTTTTTCTGAGATAAGGTTTTAAGAAACTAAAGATGTATATCTTGGCCCCATAGCTCTATAATCCTAACTAGGATTCTTTCTGTCTTTGTTCTTGGCTTCTGCTCTCTGGCCTCCCCTCTTTAAGTCCGCTGGGGGTCTGAAGGTGGGACCATGGGGATCTCCTCTGCTCCTGCCTCTCCAGGTACTGCCCTGCCAGGCATGGAGGCGGGGCCCTAAGAGGTTTGGCCGCAGGTTGCCCTGGAAGGGGTGTGGGTGGTCGGGCTGGTGACTGCGCCTGAAGCCCGCCCTGACTGAGTCACCGGGCTGTAGTCACCGTCCTGGTTGCTGAAGTCCCCGCTCAGCAACGCAGACCTCTTCTGAAACAGCAGCAGCTCCCATCTCTCCAAGCTTTCAGGAGATGCCGCCGGCCTGATGGTGAGGCAAATGGGCGGGGGGTGGGGTGGGGACCAGGGGGCAGCTGGGGCGTGGATCCGTGCCCCTCGTCCCCATGCCACTGCCTCCTCTTTCTCCTCCTCCGGGTCCGGGACCTGGGGGAGGGAGGGTCTCCACCTTCTCTCTGGCCCCTGCCCCTCACACAAAAAGCACCCCTCCCTCAGCTCCTCCTTCAGCCCCGGGACCCCCCTACCCAGCGGTGCAGGCCCCAGGGGCTTCTCAGCCTCGCTATAGTACCCTCCCCACTCCTGCTACCCCCGCCATGCAGCCCCGGCCCGCGATGATGCCCATCTCTGCTCCCCCTTCCTGGGGTTCGCACTCTGCACCTGCCCCACGCCGATGCCCCCAGGACCCTCCTAGGCTGCGGATAGGCCCTCTGATCCCTGAGCAGGATTATGAGAGGGTGGAGGGCTGTGACCCTGAGGGGTCCCAAGATTCAGCCCTCCATGGGGAGGGGCAGCAGCCCCTGCTTCATGTGCCTGACGGGCTCTGAGGTGAGGGGCTGGGGAGGGCCTCAGGGCTCCAGAGTGTCCCCCGGGCTGGGCCTCTGGCAGAGGCTTGAGGGCATGGAGGCAGGTGAGTCCCAACGCTCTCCCCTCTGTGCCCAGGCTCCTGGCACCACGTCCAGAATCCGGACAGCTGCTTCACCAAGATATCCTTTTGTGCTCTGCCTGGCAGAAGGGGCACGGGAGGCAGGGAGATAGGGATGCAGTGGGTTGGGGACTTGGGGGCTGAGGAGTCGGCGTCCTCAGGAAAGGCCCATCGTGCCGCAGGCTTAATTCTTGACGCCCTGCCACATGTACAGCTACCACCAGAGGAGTGGCTTTGCCTGTATCCTGCTGGAGGATGTCTTCCAGCTGGGGTGAGATGCTTGTCCCAGACCCCAAGCTCTTCCCCTGGCTTCTTCAGTAGTGCCTGCTGCTTCTGGGCCTCCAGTGCCTTCCCAGGCAACCCAGGGGCTCAGCAGGATGGGTTAATCCGGGCGGGCCCGGAGGCTGGGGCAGGAGCCCTCCCAGCCCGCGGGCCTCTTCACTGCACTCCCTCCCGTCCCAGACGATTCATTTTCATTGTCACCTTCACAACCTTCCTTCTTCCGCTGCGTGGATTACAGCGTTCTCTTTGCCAACCAACCAAAAAACCGAACAAGACCTGGGTCGCTCCACAGCAAAGTGACCTCGTCCGATGCTATCCTAGCCTCATCCCAGAGTGCCCAGTGGTGAGTGACAGCTGGTGGGGGAGGTGATGGGGGAGAGCAACCGACAAAGACAAAAGCCTCCCCTCCTTTTGTTCCTTGGTTTAGATCAGCCATTCTCCAAGTTTTTAGTCTCAGGCCACCTTTGATACACTTAAAATTGATTGAGAACCCAACTCCCAAGACCTTTTGTTGATGAGAATCCTATCTGTATTTATCTCGTTAGAGATTAAAGCTGAGAACAGCTTAAAGCTGTTCCTAAGAACATACAAACATACATTCCATCGACTGTGACCGTGATGTCACATAGCCTCTGGAAAAGGCCATTGTATACTCTTGGGAGAAGGAGAATGAAAATGTCAGAAAACCTTAATATTATATGAAAAGTTTTGACTTTGCAGACACTCACAAGGGCCTGGGGACCCCTAGGGCCCACATTTTGAGAACCACCGGTCTGGCTGGGTCCCCTCCCCCATCGCTCCCCAAGCCTGGTCTCCCTTGCTACGGGGCCGCTACTTTCTCTCTTCTGTCTGTCCCACCCGGCACAGGATCCGCTCCAGCTGGTCTTCCCGCTGATCCTGGCGGCTGCCGTCTGGCTGTTCCAGCTGCTTTGCTCGGTCTGCAAACTCTTCAGCTACTGGGACATCCAGGTGTTTTCCAGGGAGGCCCTGCACATCCCCCCAGTGAGTTGGGTGAGCGTGTCTGTGGAGGGGTGCCATGTCAGGGGGCAGAGGGTGGGAAGGAGTAGGGAGCTGTACAGACAGAAGGATCCACTGGGAAGAGGGCAGAAGCCCTTAGAGACACCTACCCTTGGCTCCGAATAACGTTAGGAGGTGGGGTACCACCTCTTAGAACACAAGGTCCTTACTCTTGTGGAGCTTAGTTGATGTAGATGGTTATGGAAGATGATGTACAGTCACGTGCTCGTGGTCCAAACAATGGGTCTTTAGAGGAAGGGCAGTCACCTGACTTTCCAGAGCAGGAGGAACTGGGGTTGGGCTGGGGAGGATAGGAGGTGGGGAGGCATTCCAAACCCCAGGCAGGAAGGGGGCAGGGGAAGCAATGTGCATCTTTGGGCAGCAGTAAGGAGACGGACCCACCAGCCTGCAACTGAGTGTTCAGGCCCCCGTCAGCGAGCCCACCCCCCGTTCCGGCCCCTGTTTGTAGGAAGATACTTCGTCGGCCCCTGGTCACGCTTTGCTCTTCCCCCCCGCATCTCGCTCATGCTCCTTCTGGCTCTGCACCTACGTTCTAGTTTTTTTTTTTTTTTTTTTTTTTTTTTTTGCGGTACGCGGGCCTCTCACTGTCGTGGCCTCTCCCGTTGCGGAGCACAGGCTCCGGATGCGCAGGCTCAGCGGCCATGGCTTACGGGCTCAGCTGCTCCGCGGCATGTGGGATCTTCCCGGACCGGGGCACGAACCCGTGTCCCCCGCATCGGCAGGCGGACTCTCAACCACTGTGCCACCAGGGAAGCTCCCCAAGTTCTTTCTTTAAGGCACAGCGCAAAGGCTACCTTCAGCAGCCAGCTTTCCCTGCTCCTCTCAGAAGTGCAGAGCCCTTTACACAGCCCTCCTGTGCAGCAAAGGGGAGAGGTTCTCGAAAGCCCACCTGAGTACGGAAGCACGAGCCATAGCACAGGAAAGAGTCGCGAGGGCTGGGGATGGGAAGCTGAGGGAAGCTGAGGAGCTGGACCACTGCTCCTCCAGGAGGTGCCTGACCCCTCTTTCCCCTTCCTTCTTTCCCCTCTTCCTTCCGGGGGAAAGGGAGACCCTGGGATGGACTGGAGAGGCTGGCCTGGAGGGACTTGACTAAGCTGGACTGGGGAGGCTGGGTGAAATTGGGCTAAAATGAGGTTTGCAGATGAGCTCCAAGTGAGATCTGACAGCCTCCACCCCAGATGGGGACACAGCCACTGTCTTAAGAAGGTTAATCTGATGGAGTGGGATGGGGCGGGGTGTGTGTATGTGTCTCAAAGCATGCTGAGGTAAAAGTTTGGGGGCTTCCGGGCCCAGCGGGCTGGTACCCTAGGAATGGGAAAGAGACTGCCTTGTTACCTGCAGCTCTGATGTACCTTGTATGTGTAGGGCTGCGGGCATGGAGGGGCGAGCGGTGGCCAGGAAAACCTGCTGTTACGGAGCTAAGCTCAGATACATGTGGAGTTTGGTTTATGAGCTCTTCCTGGGAAGCACATGACTCACGGCCTCAGGAGGGGCAGGGGCCTGAGGAACACAGTTCGGAACAGGGTGAGGGTAACTAAGAGGTGCCCCTTGGTGTCAAGGCGAAGGGAGGGCGAGGGGGCAGAAAGCAAAAGGTGGCAGCTTTCGTGCCCGAGAGACACTGGGTGAGGACGGCGGGGATGCATCTCTGGTCATGGGGAGTTTGGGTATCGCAGTGGAGAGGAATCCAGGTGGCTGGCGCTCGGGCTTCCCCTCTCCGCAGGAGGAGCTCAGCTCGGTGCCCCGGGCCGAGGTGCAGTCCCGCCTCCTGGCGCTGTTGGGGAGCGGGGGGCTGTGCGTGCAGCCGAGGCCGCTGACGGAGCTGGACGCCCACCACCGCATCCTGCGCTACACCAACTACCAGGCGGCGCTGGCCAACAAGGGCCCGCCGCGCCGTGCCCTGGGGAGGCAGGGCGGCCTTCCTCAGCTGCGGCCTGGCCCCCAACGTCGATCTGCTCCTCTTCCGCGGGCCCTTCGCGTTCTTCCGCGGCGGCTGGGAGCTGCCCGACGCCTACAAGCGCAGCGACCGACGGGCCGCCCTGGCCGCGCGCTGGCGGAGCACGGTGCTGCTGCTGGCGGCCGTGAACGTGGCGCTGAGCCCGCTGGTGCTGGCCTGGCAGGTGCTGCACGCCCTCTACAGCCGCGCGGAGCTGCTGCGGCGCGAGCCCGGCGCGCTGGGGACGCGCCGCAGGTCCCGCCTGGCCCGCCTGCAGCTGCGCCACTTCAACGAGCTGCCGCACGAGCTGCGCGCGCGCCTGGCCCGCGCCTCCCGCCCCGCCGCCGCCTTCCTGCGCGCCCCCGCGCCCCTGCTCGCGCTGCTGGCCCGCCAGCTCGTCTTCTTCGCCGGCGCGCTCTTCGCCGCGCTGCTCGTGCTCACAGTCTACGACGAGGATGTGCTCTCCGTGGAGCACGTGCTCACTGCCATGACCGCGCTCGGGATCGTGGCCAGGGGCCAGGTGCGATGGGGGAGATGTCCGGGGAGGGGGCATTCCTCTGTCCTGGGGCTGAGCCTCCCGCGCATCCCTACCCCTCCCACCGCTAGTGGCCCCCCAGCCGCACATCCTGTGAACGGCGGGCCCCTTCTTCATCCCCATCCCGCCCTCTAGGTGTTTCATTCCGGGTGCGCAGGGCCAAGGTCGTCTGCCGCAAATCCTGCTGCCGGCGGCCTTGGCGCGCATGCACTACCTCCCGGAGGAGACCGGCCCTGCCGGCAGGACCAACTCTTACCGGCAGATGGCGCGGCTGCTGCAATACCGAGCGGTGAGGGTCACGCCCGTAGCGGGGCTGTGGAGGAGGCTTGGCTGCCCGCGGTGTCTGGGGACAGACGGGCTCAGGGCTGGCCCTCCCGGGCGTCGGGGAATGACTGGGTTGGAGGTTTCCTGCTTGGCGAGTTTGGTTGCCCTCAGCAACCCCTTCTCAGCCTCACCCCTGCTTCCCCAGGTCTCCCTCACAGAGGAGCTCCTGTCCCCTCTCCTCACCCCACTGTTTCTGCTCTCCTGGTTTCACCCTCGCGCCTTGGAGAGCATTGACTTTTTTCGTCACTTCACTGTAGATGTGGCCGGGGTTGGGGACATCTGTTCCTTTGCCCTTATGGATGTGAAGCACCATGGCCACCCCTCAGGTAAGAGCCCGTCCCTGGCTGTGCGGGGTTGTGGTTTGGTAGGAGTCTGCTTGCCTCACTCAAAGCAGAGCTGGGTTCCACCCCCAGCTTCATTGCCTGCCACCTGTGACCTCGAGTTAGTCACTTCACTTCCCCTTAGGGCCCTCATTTGTCAAATGAGGACAGTGCGTGGGACTCTTATGAGGATTATGTGAGATGACGTGTAGAGCCCTACCAGAGTTCCCAGCACGTCATAGCACCTATAAATGGGAACGTCTTGGTCAGTGGATGGGACTGGAGTCAGGCCAGCCCTGGTATCCAGTGTGAACAGGTTTGGCAAAACACTGAGGTCACGCCGTATCCTAGTGCTGAGTCTGGACACAGGTCCAGCTCTGTGGCTGTGTTTTTGCGTGTTCCTGAGCTAGTCCCCATTCTTTCCAGTTCACCTGGAAAGAAGGAATGGGGGGCTAGTGTTTCCTGTCCTGCCTACCCCAGGTGGCACCCGCTACAGCTATAAAAGTGGTGTTCACGGGAGTTCTCCAGTGGCCTAGTGGTTAGGATTTGGCGCTTTCACTGCCAGGGCCCGGGTTCCATCCCTGGTAGGGGAACTGAGATCCCACAAGCCATGTGGCACGGCCAAAAAAAAAAAAAAAAAAAAAGTGCTGTTGGCGGCACCCTGAAGGACTGTCGTTGCTTTCAGTGGCTCTCAGAGGGACAGACAGAGGCCTCACTGTCTGAGCGGGCTGAGGACGGGAAGATTGAGCTCTCACTGATGTTCTCCCTGGTTCATCCACAATGGTGCCCCCCAAGCCACAGCTCCAAGTTCCTGGGGCACCTTCGAGGCTGGGTGCAACAAGATGCAGCCGCCTGGGGCGCCAGCTCGGTTCGCAGCCCCCCCAGCCCTGGGGTCCTCAGCAACTCCTCCCCTCGGGTGAGTCGAAGCCTGCCTGCCCTGCTGCCCTCTCCCCCGGCCCCCCCCACCCCCCGCCTCACCTCTTGTATTAACTCACTCACTAGCTCAGCCTGCTCTCCTGCCTTTCTTAGACCTCCGCCTCTGCTCCTGTCCTCTCTTCTGACCCTCTCTTCTCACCCTCTCTTCTCTTGCGCCCAGCCGGAGGCCTGCCTGGCCAACCTCTCGATGCAGCCCCTCGTGCCACCCCAGGACCTGATCCCTGTAGTCCCCTGCCCAGCTGCAGCCATGGCCAGCCTCCTGGCCTCCATTTCCCGAATGACCCAGGACTCAAGGTGAGGGGTGGGGGCCTGAGACGCAGGGAGCAGGGCTGGTGGGGCTGATCCTCCAGGAGAAGGGTGCAGGGGCATGGGTGCGGGGGTGACCAGAAAGGGGAGGTGAAGCCTGGCCCTCCCTGGGGCATGTGGGGACGGGGGGACATGTCTGTTTTTCATCCACTGTGCCCTCTGTTCTGTGTGTCCCCAGGAGGCACTGGGGGCCAGAAGCTGGCCCAGCTCCCAGAGCTTTGCGTCTGCTGAGTCTCCACGCCGTTTACCTGCACCAGGTGATTAGAGGGGTGCCAGAAAGAGAAATGTGGGGAGAAAGCAGCTGAACAAAATGGAGAGTGTGGAGGGGCTGGAGTGTAAGGAATTACCCCACAGGAAAGAACACAGTTCAGAAGAGGGTGAGGGGAACTAAGAGGTGACCCTTGTTGGTGACAAGACGAAGGGAGGGCGAGGGGGCAGAAAGGGAAAGAAAGGTGGCAGGTTTCGTGCCGAGGGACACTGCGCGAGGACGTGAGGACACATGGGTGTTCGCACTCCCCTCCTGGAATCCTCTTAACAGCCCCGCCCACTGGCTAGTCACTGTGCTCTTTTTTTTTTTTTTTTTTTTTGT